GTAATGTAGTGTAAAGTTGCCTGTGATGTTGTCTGTGATGTTTTCTGTGTTTTGTCTGTGATGTCGTTTGTAAAGTTTGTCTGTGTGTTTTTTGGGGTTTGTTGTCTCTGTTCCGCCTGTGATGTTGTTTTGTGATGTTGTTTTGATGTTGTCTGTGATTTTGTCTGTGTTTTTGGGTTTGATTTTTTTTCTTTTGATGTTGTCTGTGATGTTTCTGTGATTTCTGTGGTGTTGTCTGTGATGTTTTCTGTAATGTTGTCTGTGATGTCGTCTTTTGATGTCGTGATGTTGTCTGCGAGGGTTGCCCTTTTATTTTCTGTGATGTTGTCTAGTTTTTTGTCTGGGGATTTTGCCCTTGATGTTGTCTGTGATGTTTTCTGTGAGTTGTTTTTGTGATGGTTTTTCGTGTAGGGGTTTGCCTGTAAATTTTTTCTGTGATTTTTGTCTGTGTTTGTTGCCCTTGATGTTGTCTGTGATTTTTGTCGTGTTTTTGGGTCTGTGATGTTGTCTGTGATGTTGTCTGTGTTTTTTGTTTTGTAAAGTTGTCTGTATTTTGTCTGTGAGGGTTTGTCTGTGATTTTGTCTTGAGGGTTGTCTGTGATGTTGTCTGTGTGTTGCTGTTGTTGTCGTGATTTGTTTTGTGATGTTGTTGTGATGTTTGTCTGTGTTGTTGCCTTTTGTTAGGGCACCCCCCTTGGGACCCAAGACCCCAACACCATCACCCAAGGAAACCCCTCTTGAGGAAAAAAACCCGGTTTTTTATGCCAAAAATTATTTTAAACCTTTTTTATGAGATTAAAACTGGCAAGATGGCGCCTACAGCCTCCCAACCTTAACAACATCAACCTTCCTCTATGGAGAATATATCATCATGGAACGTTTCTGTAGTTTGAGTTGAACGGGTTAACGAGTTGATGCTGGTCAGATAAGATCTGAAGTTGTAACCACAACTTTGAGGGAAGTTTATGGAAGAAAGCAGCACTCTACCTAACAATATATTGTTTCTCTTATAAACTTGTACATTATTTAAGGCTTCACTAAACTCCTGAAAACTTAAAACAATATAAAAATACGAAATTTGAATATTTCTTAATTTTATTTTTTACACATATTTAAAATTCTTTGCAATTCTTTAAAAATATTTTGTTTTGGCTTTTTAAGAAAATATAATTTAATTTAAACAAATTATAAAATTGGTATATACAAAGTTTACTTTAAATGCAAAAAAAAAATCATAAAAGATATAAGAGAGGTTAGTGTTTGAAGCCGATATACACAGATGTGGTCATAACTATGACCATAACCGGGAAGCCAGCGGAAGGCCTCGGTCAGATGGCCAAGAGCTCCAACAGTGGGTCATCATTTGACTAAGACCAGCGCCAGGAAACACTTGTCCTGTTTCCTGACGTTACGTTAAAACCAACTTATTTAACTTCAGAATTTACATAAGTCAACACAAAGTTTGAAGTCTATCAGAAAAGGAATTCTCCAGTAATTGCTCTGAACCAACAATTCCGAGTATTTTTTTAACAATTTCATTAAAATTTTAATATTTTTTAGCTACAAATTTTAACTTGGAATGTGGAAAAAATGTTTAATAATGATTAATAAATATGATTAAATTGTACCTAATTAGAGAGATACTACCATTTACTTTATGTAGAATAATTTATCTACTTAATGTTATACAATGTAAGATTATATTCACGTCTTGAATTAATGACTTTAATAATATTAGTAGGAGAGCGTCTCTACATGTTCACCTTGGAGGAATTGTCGCAATTATTGTCTTAATCTTTATTACAATTTTATTTACATTTGAGCTCATATTACACTTGAATTTTGCAGTAGACATGTTTATTGTGATTTAATTTTAGTTTCTCTAAAAGGAAACAGATTCTCAATGAACCTAGGAGTAAAATTGTAATAATTATAGGCAAATGTTAACGCTTGAGAGGCGGTGATGTGAGCCACGACGCTGCCACCTCAACACTGTCTATAAGTAGTGTTGTTTGAAGTCAGATGTTGTTTCCAGTTCATTGGCGGGGTGTAAAAGCCCTGACAGGCCTTTCCTCACTGTCCAACAATTAAATTCTGTATAGACAAGTACCAAGACAAGAAGAATACGCAGCAATTTGTGGATGTCCCAAAACTGAGGCAGCTGAAGCAGTACCATGAGGATGCTAAATTGGATATACCACGATTTCGTCGTCTTAAATTCACCTTTCAGTAAAGTATCTGTGGAAAAATTTGGATTTTCCTAAATTCAGCATGTGTAAATTTGAATAATACAATAATTGTGTAATAAAACATGATGCTGATTTGATCCATTCGAGAATTTCGAGTGAGGGGGTGTAGAAGAGCTGCGGAGTGATGCTGGGAGGGGATGCCATATTGAATTTTATAAGGGAACACTTGACTTAATTGTGCAATGTGATCGGGCGTTCTCGGAGGCCAAAATGGGGCGTTTCGGTCAGAATTTGTAATGGGAACCCATGTTAATGTCCCCTGCTGAAGAATTGGGACAGGAAATTTGCAGGACCTCAAGAATTGTGCGTGAATGGGGGACAATCACTCACAGGGAAGTGCACCATTAGTCCTTGCATTTAGTTCACTAGTGTAGGGTCTAGGTGTTAGGCAGGTGTCGTGGTTTGATCCATCTACAGTAATTAAATGGTAAGTGCTAATACCAATTATATTTTGTATACCCAGCAAGACAAATCACATACAGTCCACAACTTTAAAAAGTCAGAGTAGCTGGTTTTAATATTATAATTACCAATTTAATGTCAGGTCTAGTTTTTTTTGTGAGAGTGGTAAGGAGTGGGCATCGAGGGAGTTACAGTTCAGTGACCTGCTGTGACTTAAATCCCACTTACCTCACTCAAATTACTTGCAGGTAATAATTCAGGTAATGCCCTCTAAGTCTCCTGCAGGTGATTTGGTCATATAATATTAATAATAATAATAATAATAATAATAATAATAATAATAATAATAAAGTTTTCAAAAGTATCCTTCTTTATTCAGTGTGTTTCAGTGAAGCAAGATCTTACTCGCTAGGTATAAAGGGTAGATCCTGGGAGGAAACTTCTAGGGAGAACTTCGCCAACCAGAGACGAGCCAAGAGACATAATATACTCTTAACTTTGTAATCTCTGTATGTACATATTCTTTATATCAATTAAGGTTATATGGGCAGATGTTCTTTATCATGTAACATGACTCTCAATCATCCATACATCTGGAGTTTACCTGGAGAGAGTTCCGGGGGTTAACGCCCCCGCGGCCCGGTCTGTGACCAGGCCTCATGGTGGATCAGGGCTTGATCAACCAGGCTGTTACTGCTGGCTGCACGCAATCCAACGTACAAACCACAGCCCGGCTGGTCAGATACCGACTTTAGGTGCTTGTCCAGTGCCTGCTTGAAGACAGCCAGGGGTCTATTGGTAATACCCTTTATGTATGCTGGAAGGCAGTTGAACAGTCTTGGGCCCCTGACACTTACTGTGTTGTCTTTTAACGTGCTAATGACACCCCTGCTTTTCATTGGAGGAATATTGGATCGTCTACCGAGCCTTTTGCTTTCGTAGTGAGTGATTTTCGTTTGCAAGTTCGGTACTAGTCCCTCTAGGATTTTCCAGGTGTATACAATCATGTATCTCTGCCGCCTGCGTTCCAGGGAATACAGGTTCAGGAACTTCAAGCGCTCCCAGTAATTGAGGTGTTTTCCCTCAGTTATGCGTGCCGTGAAGGTTCTCTACATTTTCTAGGTCAGCAAAAGGGTTTTATTCATATTTAAGAATATAATCGAGTGTGGACCATCTATATGTAAGTTACTTTGTGATATAAAATAATCATATCACATTTCTATCAATTATCGCGAGTGATTTAACTTTATCGAATATTAATTAATAATTTAATTATCCCTCACAGAATGCATAAGCTTTAACATTCTGAAACCGATAAGACGAAGCATTCTTTAGAAATTGATAACAACGCACTACGTATATATATGTACTCCCTTAATGGGAAACACCAGCCATGAAAATTTGAAGCCAGTCAAAACACTCATTCTCCAATTATCACATTTAGTATATTGGCAAATTTGTTCACACGCACAAACAAGATATAATGGCTACTGTCCTGAGTGTAAGATATATCAGCCATTAAATACTGAATCCATTCATAAGAAGACTCGAATATATTTAAGTGATTAAATGTGAATAAAAAATTCACAGTATTTTACATATAAAATTGGCAAATATGCATCTACACACTTGAATATCTCAGCTGTCAGCCGGGCTGTGGCTCGTACGTTGATTTGCGTGCAGCCAGCAGTAACAGACTGGTTGATCAGGCTCTGATCCACCAGGAGGCCTGGTCACAGACCGGGCCGCGGGGGCGTTGACCCCCGGAACTCTCTCCAGGTAAACTCTCCAGGTCTCCAGGAATTAAGAGGCGCCTTTTTTGAACATTTGAAGCCGAGCAGCCGAAGGTTTTGGAAGTTATCGGAACTATTCCAAAAAGCTGGAAATGGGTTCTACAATTGTGATCATAGGGCACCTACACATGCCAATTATTCCAAGACTCTTGCTCTAGTTACCGTACACCAACATTGTAAACTTTAAGCCGATCGGATGAGACATTCTCGTGTCATGAACGAAATAAAAATAAAAAGTTGGAGGAAGGGACAAAAATTCAGACATCCACTCAGTTTCTCCTTCGTAAATATCTGATAATTATGGCTAAGATGTCTTTTGTTCACGAGATAAAATCAGATACGATTCCTAAAAAACAGGCCGTAAATAGTATTTGATTCCACGTGTATTATTTACTTATGAAGATCAAATACGCATGAGGGAGCCCAAACAGGTGTTGATGAACCATATGGTAGAGAGGGAGGAGGATGTTACTCCACTCACCGTTACTCTCCCTCCATCACATCCTCCTCCTACATACATTACACCTCAAACTAACTGCTACGTCGTCATACTTACCAGAAAATGCAGGTAGCGTAGAACAGTTGAGATCTGGTATAATGAAAGGGAGGAGAGAGACACAGTCACTCTGATGGTCTTGCTGGCACTGTGGGAGGGAGGTAGCAACCCACCTTCCCTACCATTCCCAACCCACCCCAACACCCACCACCCATCCCTTCAACCATCCCTGTGTGCTTGTCCACGGCGCATGCACAAGATACTCCTCCTTCCTGCCTTCCCCCGCTGCTGCTGCTGCTACTTTGCTTGCTATTGCTGTAACTGTTACTTAGGCAACTGTTACTGCTGCTGCTGCTGCTACTGTTATAGTTCGACAGCTGTTAATACTGCTGTTCAGACTGCCGCTGCTACTGTTCTTTAGGTTTCTACTACTGTTGCTTACACTTCTACTGTTATTCAAGCTGCAACTCTTACTTAGACTGATGGGTAAACAATGGGAAAAACCGACGGGTATGAATAAAGACACTGGTAGCAGAGGATCCTTTAAATGCAACGTTTCGATCAAGGTTGGGCTTTATACTTGATAAAGTACAGCCTTGGGCGAAATGTTGCATTACAAGGATCCTCTGTTACTAGTGTCTTTATTCCCACGTAGACTGTTGATGCTACTGTTGCATAGACTTCATCTGTTATTCAGGTTGCAACTGTTACTGCTGGTGCTACTATTGCTGCTATTGTTACTGTTGGTGCTACTATTGCTGCTATTGTTACTGTTGGTGCTACTATTGCTGCTACTGTTACTGCTGGTGCTACTATTGCTGCTATTGTTACTGTTGGTGCTACTATTGCTGTTATTGTTACTGTTGGTGCTACTATTGCTGCTATTGTTACTGCTGGTGCTGCTATTGCTGCTACTGTTACTGTTGGTGCTACTGTTACTGTTGCTGCTACTGTTGCTGCTATTATTGCTGCTACTGTTACTTAATGTTGCTCCTGTTGTCGCATATACTTCCACTGTTACTCAGGCTGCTACTGTTACTGTTGGTGCTACTATTGCTGCTATTGTTACGGTTGGTGCTACTATTGCTGCTACTGTTACTGTTGGTGCTACTGTTACTGTTGCTGCTACTGTTGCTGCTATTATTGCTGCTACTGTTACTTAATGTTGCTCCTGTTGTCGCATATACTTCCACTGTTACTCAGGCTGCTACTGTTACTGTTGGTGCTACTATTGCTGCTACTGTTACGGTTGGTGCTACTATTGCTGCTACTGTTACTGTTGGTGTTACTGTTACTGTTGCTGCTACTGTTGCTGCTATTATTGCTGCTACTGTTACTTAATGTTGCTGCTATTGTCGCATATACTTCCACTGTTACTCAGGCTACTACTGTTACTGTTGGTGCTACTATTGCTGCTACTGTTACTGTTGGTGTTACTGTTACTGTTGCTGCTACTGTTGCTGCTATTATTGCTGCTACTGTTACTTAATGTTGCTGCTATTGTCGCATATACTTCCACTGTTACTCAGGCTGCTACTGTTACTGTTGGTGCTACTACTGCTGCTACTGTTACTGTTGCTGTTACTGTTGCTGCTTCTATTTCTGCTACTGTTATTTAATGTTGCTGCTATTGTTGCGTAGACTTTAACTGTTATTCAGGTTCCTACTGTTACTGTTGCTGCTATTGCTACTGTTACTGCTCTTGTTACTGTTGCTGCTACTGTTAGTGTTGCCGCTAAAGTTACTGTTGCTTCTACTGTTGCTGCTTGCTACTGTTATTGTTGCTGCTTCCTACTGTTACTGTTACTGCTCGCTACTGTTACTGTTGCTGCTTGCTACTATTACTGTTGCTGCTTCCTACTCTTACTGTTGTTGCTTGCTACTGTTGTTGCTTGTTACTGTTACTGTTGCTGCTTGCTAGTGTTACTGTTACTGCTTGCTACTGTTACTGTTGCTGCTTGCTAGTGTTACTGTTACTGCTTGCTACTGTTACTGTTGCTGCATGCTACTGTTACTGTTGCTGCTTCTGTTGCTTCTGATGTTGCTCCTTGCTACTGTTACTGTTGCTTCTACTGTTGCTGCTTGAATACTGTTACTGTTCCTGCTAATATTGCTGTTACTGTTACTTAGGCTGACTATGTATGCAAAAGTTACATGTGAGGGTATAATTATTGGTAGTATTAATAATATTCATGGAAAAGCGCTAAATCCGTAGGGTCATCCAGCACCCAAAAGGAGAGCAGCTCAAATTTCTTGGGTCAAGAGCCTTCACCAGCTTCAAGGAATTCCAACTTAAGGGCCTCCAAGTTCACTGGTAACTCTGGTCTCCAGGTTCACTGGTAACTCTGATCTCCAGGTTCACTGGTAACTCTGGCCTCCAGGTTCACTGGTAACTCTGGTCTCCAAGTTCACTGGCAACTCTGATCTCCAGGTTCACTGGCAACTCTGGTCTCCAGGTTCACTGGTAACTCTGGCCTCCAGGTTCACTGGTAACTCTGGCCTCCAGGTTCACTGGTAACTATGGCCCCCAAGTTTACTAGTAACTCTCGTCTCCAGGTTCACTGGTAACTCTGGCCTCCAGGTTCACTGGTAACTCTGGTCTCCAGGTTCACTGGTAACTCTGGTCTCCAGGTTCACTGGTAACTCTGGCCTCTAGGTTCACTGGTAACTCTGGCCTCCAGGTTCACTGGTAACTATGGCCTCTAGGTTCACTAGTAACTCTGGCCTTCAGGCTCACTGGTAACTCTATCCTCAAGGTTCACTGGTAACTCTGGCCTCCAGGTTCACTAATAACTCTGGTCTCCAAGTTCACTGGTAACTCTGACCTCCAGGTTCACTGGTAACTCTGGTCTCCAGGTTCACTGGTAACTCTGGCCTCCAGGTTCACTGGTAACTCTGGCCTCCAGGTTCACTGGTAACTCTGGCCTCTAGGTTCACTGGTAACTCTGGCCTCCAGGATCACTGGTAACTCTGGCCTCTAGGTTCACTCGTAACTCTGGCCTCCAGGTTCACTGGTAACTCTGGCCTCCAGGTTCACTGGTAACTCTGGCCTTCAGGATCACTGGTAACTCTGGCCTCAAGGTTCACTGGTAACTCTGGCCTCGAGGTTCACTGGTAACTCTGGTGTCCAGGTTCACTGGTAACTCTGGCCTCCAGGTTCACTGGTAACTCTGGCCTCTAGATTCACTGGTAACTATGGCCTCCACGCTCACAGGTAACTCTGGCCTCCAGGTTCACTGGTAACTCTGGTCTCCAGGTTCACTGGTAACTCTGGCCTTCAGGTTCACAGTAACTCTGGCCTCTAGTTTCACTAGTAACTCTGGTCTCTAGGGTCACAGGTAACTCTGGCCTCCAGGTTCACAGTAACTCTGGCCTTCAGTTTCACTAGTAACTCTTGTCTCCAGGTTCACTGTAACTCTGGCCTCCAGGTTTACTGGTAACTCTAATGGCTGGCCTCCAATTTTGCAGATAACTCTGGCCTCCAGGTTCACTGGTAGCTCTGGCCTCCAGGTTCACTGGTAACTCTGGCCTTCAGGTTCACTGGTAATTTTGGCCTCCAGGTTCACTGGTAACTTTAGCCTCCACGATCACAGGTAATTCTAGCCTCCAGGTTCACTGGTAACTCTGGCCTCCAGGGTCACTGGTAACTATGGCCTCCAGGTTCACTGGTAACTATCGCTTCCAGGGTTACTGGTAACTATGGCCTCCAGATTCACTGGTAACGATGGCCTCAATGTTCACTAGTAACTATGGCCTCCAGGGTCACTGGTAACTATGGCCTCCGGGTTCACTGGTAACTATGGCCTCCAGGTTTACTGGAAACTCTGGCCTCCAGGGTCACTGGCAACTATGGCCTCCAGGGTCACTGGTAACTATGACCTCTAGGTTCACTGGTAACTCTGGCCTCCAGGGTCACTGGTAACTATGGCCTCCAAGTTCATTGGTAACTATGGCTTCCAGGTTCACTGGTAACTCTGGCCTCCAGGTTTACTGGTAACTCTGGCCTCCAGGTTCACTGGTAACTCTGGCCTCCAGGTTCACTGGTAACTCTGGCCTCCAGGTTCACTGGTAACTCTGGCCTCCAAGGTCACTGGTAACTCTGGCCTCCAGGTTCACTGATAACTCTGGCTTCCAGGTTCACTGGTAACTCTGGCCTCCAGGTTCACTGGGAACTCTGGCCTCCAAGGTCACTGGTAACTCTGGCTTCCAGGGTCACTGGTAACTCTGGCTTCCAGGTTCATTGGTAACTATGGCCTCCAGGTTCACTGGTAACTCTGCCCTCCAGGTTCACTGGTAACTCTGGCTTCCAGGTTCACTGGTAACTCTGGCCTCCAGGTTCACTGGTAACTCTGGCTTCCAGGGTCACTGGTAACTCTGGCTTCCAGGTTCATTGGTAACTATGGCCTCCAGGTTCACTGGTAACTCTGGCCTCCAGGTTCACTGGTAACTCTGGCCTCCAGGTTCACTGGTAACTCTGGCTTCCAGGTTCACTGGTAACTCTGGCCTCCAGGTTCACTGGTAACTCTGGCCTCCAAGGTCACTGCTAACTCTGGCCTCCAGGTTCACTGGTAACTCTGGCCTCCAGGTTCACTGGTAACTCTGGCTTCCAAGGTCACTGGTAACTCTGGCTTCCAGGGTCACTGGCAACTCTGGCTTCCAGGGTCACTGGTAACTCTGGCTTCCAAGGTCACTGGTAACTCTGGCTTCCAGGGTCACTGGCAACTCTGGCTTCCAGGGTCACTGGTAACTCTGGCTTCCAAGGTCACTGGTAACTCTGGCTTCCAAGGTCACTGGTAACTCTGGCTTCCAGGGTCACTGGCAACTCTGGCTTCCAGGGTCACTGGTAACTCTGGCTTCCAGGGTCACTGGTAACTCTGGCTTCCAAGGTCACTGGTAACTCTGGCTTCCAGGGTCACTGGTAACTCTGGCTTCCAGGGTCACTGGTAACTCTGGCTTCCAAGGTCACTGGTAACTCTGGCCTCCAAGGTCACTGGTAACTCTGGCCTCCAAGGTCACTGGTAACTCTGGCTTCCAGGGTCACTGGCAACTTCTTAAATTGTACAGGTGACTGCAGATGATCTGTATGATGAATAATATCTTTATTTACTACAAGTACATGTACAAGGTATACAGTTCTAGCTGACATCTATGACATACTGCTATATACAAAG